ATGCCCACCAGAGCTTACCCCCACTACTCAGGACAGACACAACCTCCAAGCATCAGAGCCATTTCCAACTGGCAGGCATATAACTTGTGCTTCTTTTATGCTCATACCATTACTTACCTATAAAAGGGACTCTGCATTTTTCTGCCAACTCATTCCTAGAGACTAGTATTGGTATCTTGGGATGCTCATTTGCTCTGTAAAAATTAGGTTTTTAAATAGACTGAAGCAGAAATCTCACTTTTGTTGCACTGCCCTTATATAGCAGAGCTCGGTTATTAGAACAAATTGGAGCAAGCCGCTTCCTGGTTGTTATACCCACATAATTACTAAGGCTGCTACATGAAACCCTGCTTCACTCTTATGCTTAGAGGCGAGATCTCCATTTTGCAAGGACAGAGCAAGTTCTATTATGCATTTTACTGCCAAAGGAGGTCAATTAACTTTAATTGGTTCTAATTAGCACTTGCTCAAGCTGTTACATTCTTTACCTGCATCCGAGTGGCTCTCCAAGTGCTGCACAATGGATTCCTGCTTTTGAACACAAAGGAGAATTACTAATGGCATCCTTGAAGGCAAAAGATGCACTGATCAGCATAAATGGGGAACAAATATCAGCACAAATAGTAGCAGGCCTTTTTAGGACAAACCCCCCTCCCCCCAAACATTTCATCCCCATCTGCCTTTGGTCAATTGAACTGAATGCAACCGTGAACCTTGTTGTTTAAAGTTAGAACAATGTAAATACACAAATGTAATTATTCTCTGACATAACTTCTTTACAACTGAAAGATAAGTACTGGAAAATGCAAAGGGTAAGGAGGTGGAGGGAGAGTGTAGCAGCTCTGAAAGAAACAAATAGATCATTTCAATGGCAGCCAAAACAAAATACCAAGAAACAAAAAAATAAATTGTCAAACACATACATCTGAAATGCTCTGTTTTCTAGGATTTTTGAGGAATGTTTTAAAAAGTTTGGTTTTAAGTGAAAGGTTTAGGTTTTTGCTGGGGTTTTCTTCCATTCTGCTGCCAAGATAGGAACAACCTCACTGGCCTAAATGTCAGTGTAAACCATTTGAATCCTCAGGATGTGGTAAGAAGCCAGCATTGAACTCAAGATTGTCTACAATAGACTGAATGAGGAGTCACATGCCAGAAGATATGCTGCAATGCTGAGCTGTGCTCTAGGAACTTGTTTTCTGCTGGGACCTTCCTGGATGTAGTCACACAGTTAAATAAAGGCAGGCCAGAGAGCAATTGCACCGACACTAGAGCTCAGAGCTAGCTTTCCCCAAATAACCAGTCCACTCTCACAACCCATAGGCATGGCCCTACATCTCCTCTGGATCCCATGAAATGTGTTTTCATTGTATCTGCTATTTTTAATGGTGGAGTGTTGCCAGGACAAGAGATCAGTCCTAAAGAGAAGCAGGGAACAAGCTAAACACAGCAGATGCTTGGTACCACTGCTCTGCTGTGTTTCCTTGGTCCCCTCTGGACTAATAAAGCATATATCCAGCCATGCAGAGCACTATGTGTCCCCCAACACCTCCACATGTCTTCTGCTCTTGCACCCCTCCATACTGGACACCCCAGATCCAGGGGACAGCATCTGAGGACACAGACTATTGGAGGACAGCACTGAGACATGCCTGACTAGGTGGTCCCAATGCAAACCACCACAGTGCCTAACTCATTGAAGACCTTCCCTGCCCTGTAAAACTCCATCCTTGGTGAAGTGATCTACTTCTGTCTATGTGATGCCTGACAAGGTGCCCAGCGAAAGGATTCACTGAAACTTGCTGAGCCTAAAGCCACATGGGCTTCCCAGCTGGAGACTTGCTGGGGCAAGCAGCCAGAGCCAGGGGCTCATACAACCCTGAGCATGCTCCAGTTCCACTGGCTTGGATTAACCACATATTTAAAATAAAATACCAGATTTGGAGTCACAAGGATCTAGGCCTCCTATGGACTTTGGATAATTTGTTTTGGTATGGAAACCAAAATAATTGAACTTTATACATATTATTATGCCATTCAAAATTACATGTGAAACTCTAGTGAACTTTGCTGATTCTAAACCAGCATGTGTTCCTTATTTTAGTATTACTTTTTGCCATTTTCTTGCCATTTGAATGTACCTCCTAAATAAATTGTCCATTGCCCACATGGTTTTCAAAAATAATTTATTTTTTGCTAATGTGTTCCAGATAGATGGAACACCAAATGTGTTAAAAAAATAAAAATTAAATAAAAAATCTTCCCCTCATCAAACAGTCCCCAATCTTTACAAGAGAAGGCCAGCCTTTTTCTTTCTAATTCCCCTGCTAAATCTCCACAAGGCCATTACTTATAAAAAAAAACCCCAAACTGCATAAATTGTAGACAAGCCAAAGGAGCTGCCTGTATTTTTATTTTTTAAAAATGTTTCTGCCAAAATCTCCCCCAACCTGATTACCTTTCCTCTGTCAGTTGTGAGGGTGCTTTCTCAGCCTTTTCTCCTGGCTGGCAAAGTATGGGCTGAGGCAAGTATAATTCAACATGTAAGTATTTCAAACAGTCATGTCTTGCTTTTGCATTGGTGCATAGTTAAATTAGTACACTTTAAACATTTTTTGACCCTTATCTTTTGTACTTGTCCCAAAGAATAGTGTTTCTGTTGCATTTCGGGTGACAACCAAAAGGTATTCAAAAGGTTTACTGACTTGGCTAAGGAGTTGATAAATAAATTTAAAAAAATAACAAAAAAAGAAATATCTGTTCTTTGCATCATTGAAACGGCTGCCCATACAGCAATACACCACTGAAGCACATGTAACAATTTGTCATTTGGTCCTTCAGCCCTCCAGCATTTGAAATTGAGCATGTATTCAATGCAAAGATTGAGAAAAATTGACCTAGCATCTATCCATACATTTTGGGAGTATTCTGTACTGGGTTGGCAGTTGCTCCACCAGCACAAAACGCTAAGTCCAAGGGTTCAGACCCATGGAACACAGGTTTTACACATCTACTACTTTACAGGCTTTAAGCAAAGTAAGGTGTACATTTGGGTCTTTACTGAACACCGAGATAGCACATCTACAAATGGAAGATGTTTCACTAGAATAGCTGTATCAGTGCAATTACATAGGTACAGCTATTCCTGATACAGACAGGACATTAAACAGAAACCCCTATGACAGGCAACATTTACCACTGGCCTATTTGTATGACAGCTCTTAGCTTAGTTCAAAAACCAGCGTATAAAATGTTCCTTGTCACCTGTAAGTGGACAGTGATGATTATAGCTCAGTCTATGTTATTATTGCCTGATTTTCCCAGTTTGGGTTTTCACATACTGACTCCTTACTCAAGGTCTTTTAACATAGATTTGAAATGTGAATATGTTTTATTTTTTCCCCAGTAAATATACAATACACACTTTAACAGTACTATTAACCAACTTCTTATGCCAATTAAACTTTGCTGCACTAACAATACCAATGAAACACATTAAGAGGTCATACTTTTTCGTGAACAAACTGTAGCCAATAAACAGTTTTTTTAAAAAGCAAATTAAAAAACAATTCTAAGTGCTGCCACAACATCCCTTTTCTTTGAACACATTATTCACAATAAATGTTTTCATTTTTCTTTAAAAAAAAGAAGAATACTTCTTTTAAAATAGCAAATTAAAAAATTTAAAAAATATGTACTGTGGTTCATTGGAAGTACACTGTATAGAAAAGAGAGAGAGAAAAAAAAAGAAGAGACATCACCTGTAAAGATAATGGAGACACTTTGCGATACACAACAACACCTTATGTAATATTGTAAGCAAATTATTAATGAACAAAAAAGTACAGAAGCAGATGGACAAGTTAGTGAATATCATGGTACTGCACAGCTTTAATACTGACACACATTTACTTTCCAGTGGAAGAGATAAAACACATATTTGAAAGTAATTGGAATGGCTTTATCAACCTCTAATGATACTGAATTTTGAATAGAATCTAGTGAGTAAGGTGTTCCACCAAAGCTCAGCACAAGCTTTTGAATTAAAAGGGGAAAAAAAAAATCTACTGGTGACTGGGTTAAAACATTTTCCAGAGAATTAAATTTGAATTGTACCCTGAATAGTCTTTTCTTCAGATGATAATACCAAAATAAAAACCATACATATGTAATTATGATACATTCTTTATCTTACGTGAACATTTTTGCACATTTTTATGTAATGTTTTGAACTATAGTGATTTAACAAGCAGGAAAATTACATATATACTCACTGGTCACATATATAAATAAATTCATACTTTTTTCTCAACTTAACCTGCTAAATAACATGTCTCAACCGTAAGGAAGTTAACTAGAATTTTTTAAATATTCAATAGTGCTGAGTTATAGTTGATGGCTGCAGTGTTTTATCTTATCATGGAACAAGTTAATGAAATGAAAAGCAACACATATTTAGGTTTGTAATTTACTTTTCTAAAATTCTGCCATTACTAAAAAGGTTCTTAATACTGGTGAGCTCCAAGGCAATATATAAAACAACATAGACTGGTTATATGAAAAGGGTTTTCAAATGGAAACTTGTGTTCATGGTCAGATAACTGACAGAAATAAGCTGTAGGATGCAATATTTAAATTAAGCATCAAAGTAATGGGTGGACTATCCACATACAATATTCTAAGAAAAGCTTGACAATTTGCTAATTGAGATTTGAGAAGTACAGAAGATTTGGACAAAGTAATGAAAATTAATGAAGAGACAGGATGCTGTCATTAATGTCCACTTACAGAGTCTGGTTTATTCAAAAACTGTATAAACATGCGTTTTTTTCCTCATTATAGTAGGGTTTGAAACCACTCACTAAAACACAGGTCAAAGATTTTCTTTGCTTATATCCAACTTTTTTGGATGTATTGTATTGCCAGAAATGTATTTAGTGCAAGCTGAAAATAATTTGACCGTTGCTTTCCTTCCAAACACTAAACATCTTACTACAAATTTAGTGGATCCAACTCCAGGTCTTGCAGACTTCGGGTAACAGAATGGAAAGGTTTGTGTAGACTGCATCAAAACAATTAATGTCATGAATTTCAGTGGTGCAGCTCTATCCTCTATGGTACTGTACATGTATTGGAAAGATGAAATAAGATACTCTGACATTTCAATTTTTTGGAAGCAGCCTGAATATGTCTTAATAATAAATTGCATCCTTAACTTCTTACTAGGTATTCCTTGAGTTTATATTGTTTGTTTCTCCTGGAAAATCTTTGTCTTATGTTTTGGGCTGGAGAAATTAATGCTAATAATTCTTTTAAAACTGCAGTATAAAAACAGCTTTAGTGAAACACCTTAAGTTCTTTTGTTTGAAGCAAGGTTTGATTTTCTTCCCCTTTACTTAGTGTCACGGGATGGCTAAAAACAGATATTAAGGGCATCATTCTAGTGAAAGGGTCTAGGCCATCTCATGCTACCTTTAATTTTCATAATCACTCTTTAATCTCACACTTCCAACTTCTGACCCCTTCTTAAATATGAAGAGCAACTATGTTGCTTGCTTTTAAAAGGTTTAAATCTGTCTCTAATGTCTTCACTGACATCAGTTTTGCCTGTCACTTTCTCATTTCTACACCCCAATGGAAAACCACCTAACATACTCCTTTACATCCAGCGTTATCCAAAGTAGCTTACAAGACGTAAACCTTCTTCACACATTCAGTCTCTTTTTTCTTCATATCATGAGGAGTAGAGTTTTGTGCTTATCACCAAATAAAATTGCAGTGCAAACTTTAAACATAAAAGTTACACAATTAAAAGTTAATATATGGCACCACAGCCTATTAATTCACATATAGTACAACAGACCAGTAAAAACAGACATGAATATGAACATAGCTAAAAAGAAGGTGAGCTTGCATAGCAATGCAACAAAAGAAATTATATACAGAAGGAAATCCTTTTCATCCTGGAGGGTGATTTTTTTATTCTTTCTTTTTTATATACTCCTGACAAGGAATAGTTTAAGGTGGATGGTGTATTAAAGAGAAGAACACAAGTAAAGTATCTGTGGGATATGTGTGGCTGTGTGTCTTTACATTGCATTTACAGTTCTTTTAATAGTACATAAATAAAGAAAATGTTCATTGCACTGTTTAGTGTCATCACTTCCATGAGTTCAGACCTGATGGTCCATCAGAGCAGCTTGCAATGTGTCTTCTCAACTACTCTATAGAGAGAAACAAAGAGAGAGAAAGAGGTTGTAATAAAGAGAAAAAAACCCCCACAAAACAAAGCCTATGGCAATATTACTACAGCACAGGATGAATATTCAGTAGGTTGTGAGAAGAGGATTAATTGCTTCTAACATGAAAAGCAATGGATGCTAAAATTCAGCACTTACCAATGCCATATCTGAGACTGCACATTTCAGGGTTTGTGGTCACCATTAGCTCTCTTAGAAGCTACTGGGCAGTAAGAGTCAGGAGGTACTGAGGGTTTGACTGCAGCAAATAGGGTGCAGACATGCCAACAGCTCCACTGCTTCTACTATGAGACATACCAGTATGCCCAAGCTAGCCTGGATGTCAATGTGCTACTTTAAACAACAGAGTCAAACCTTTGGGCATCTGGTACTACCACGACATGCACAGCATTAACATGGTTTTACACAAAGTTTAACAGATACTAAGTGATAGTAAAAAGAAGTTTGGAAAATAATTCCTCTGTCCTGGGATGCTGAAGAAAGAGTTGAGATATACAGCTGAAAAACTGGGCTATATAATAATAAAAAAAGAGGCTCTCCATCTAAGTGAATACTGCTCATCAAGCAATGGGAAGTTAAAGAGAAGGCATCACTGGGACCAAATATTTCATCACTCTTTTCATTCACTCCTCTGAGAAAACCTGCCAATGGCATTTTCAGGACAAGCACACACACTGCACTTCGCCAAGAAAATTATAAATGACCAGAATTTCTTTTCAATTTTCCCCATGCTTCACTAGCATTATACAATGAAAGATGTACTACACAGATAACATTGGCACGGCTTACACAGATTTGAACTGGTCCAAACCAAAGAACAGAAGAATGTCATTTGTTTGTCATCACATGCAATATACCTCAGAAGACAAAAAGATGTAGGTGAAATTGAATCTGATTATCACACACAACTTCTTAATCTCTTCACAACAGATTTATAATTTTTCTCTTTTTGTCTATTTGAGAGTTCAACTATAGCTAGAGATAAACTTACATAATTCACCAGTAAACTGTCCTTGACTGTTTGATCCCACATAGCCTATATCGAGAAGGTCACTGGCATTGCGTTGGTGACCTCCTCGCAAGACTTCACCTTTTCTAGGTCCAGTCGATCCTTTAGAAGAAGCTGTTCCTGAAGAGCTGTGGCCACCAGGGGATGGGAAGTTGGGTTTACTATATGGTACGAGTGCCTCTTCTAGAAAAGCAAAGCAAAACCAAATCAAAATAAATATCAATAAATTCCTAGAAAAAAGGAATAAACAAGCCATTTGTTTATGGACATCATATTAATTTCTGCCCTCATATATATCTGTCTTTTGTCTTGCTTTATAACATGACAATTTTACCTAAGAAAATGTACAACTAAGTATTGTATCCCAAGGACAGAGAAGTCAGCATGAATTTAATCTTGCTTCCTTGTAAACTTGTATGTCAGTTTGTATTAATTATAAGAAGTCTAGATTCATTATGAAGTTATAGATCATGAATCATAGATACTTTAATAAAAATAGATGCATATGCAATTTCCAAAACAATGCAGCTATGATTAGATTTTTGCTTCAAGCCTACATGAATGTGCTTTTTCCTTTTCTTTAGCTTAAATTATGGCAACATTGGCTCAATCAGTTTGGATAAAGAACTACAATATCAGCTAATTTAATTAGCTTCCAGCAACTCTGTAATTTCTAACAATGCAAAGTACACTGACAAATTTTTTTTTAACTGGTGGTGAATTATATGGGAAAATATTATATTATACATAGTAGTTGTAATATTTGGGATGAATAAATCATCCTGCAGCTTGTTTCATGATTCATTATGAGCAAAAGGTTTACTTTTGCTCACTTGGCTTCTTCTGTGAAGACCTGTAATAATGAATTGCTTGCGAGAGCAGGATTAATACCAATAATGCATAAGATCTTCATATAGCATGAAGCAAAACAAGGCATCACTTCTGATTAGAGTTACCAGGAGATATTGTTGTAATAATTCTAAGAAGCAAAGCAGCAGCACTGATTTAGCACTGAAACAGAAGCACCATTTTATTTTTTTGCTGTGCATGATCCACTTTTACAATCTCAGAAGCTACAGAAAGAGACCTTGCTAAATACAGTTTGATTCAAGAAAGAATATGAGTATATATGCTTAACCTCAAACAGAGCAATTTCCCCTTCTGAAATCAGTGGTATGTCTCCTGCTTGAATCCTACATTTTTTTAAAGTGAATCTGGGACAAAAGGGTTTTCTTTATTTTGCTTTTCCCATTGTCTTCACTCTCAAACAACTTGATGATGAGAAACGGACTTTCTTTGACAGAGGGCAGGAACACAGAAGGAAACGTAGGTGGGGATGGTTGGAGAGAAAGAGGAGATTAAAACGCTTTTATTCACAAGCTTAAAGCCTTTGCAAAGACTGCAGCAGAGGCACAATTAATTTACAGAAATGCTAAATGAGAACAAATTTGTGGAAGAAACCCAGGATTTCATTCTTCATGCCTACTGCCACAAGTGAGTAGGACATGGGGATTCCCCATGTGATGTGCTATTGAACAGAGACTGTAAGTCAAATCTGTTGCAGAAGAGGGCAGGCACCTGACTTCGTTCTCTGCCAAAGTATCTCCTTCTGGCCCTGCCCAAGGGACCAGAACATTTGTGCTGCAGGACATCAGGGCATTATCAGTGTTTCGTCCTACAACTGTGTGCTGTCTTGCTGAAATATAAAGAAATGCTTAAAAGACATAGTAAAATGGCATTTAACAGCCATAGTCTCCTAAATTATGTTACTTGTTCTTTGTATATCAAGGTCTAACGATAGAATCAGATGCAAACCTGGTTTTCAAAGGCTGGCTAAAATATGGAAAAGCTTGCATTAAGGCAACAATAAAGCAAGAAGCATAAATCAGCTTAGCAGAAAGATAGATACACTTTTAAATGATGAAAAGAGAAGTCACTAGCATTGCAAAATACTTGGAAGATGACATATATGGTTAATTGATTTGTTTTTCTAGTTTGTAGACTCAGGATAAGGCCTCCTTCAGGTTCAATGAAATACTGAGGAACCTCAGCCATGAATAAATATAAAAGTGCGTTATCATTATAGAGCATATGGTATGTTAAATTATCCATTGCGCCTTCAGAAATAAATATAATCCATAAAATAAGTAATTGTGACATAAAATAAATGCTAAGTTTTTCATAACATTCTAGCACAGGAAAGGTAGCTGCCTCAAGTCTTGAGAATGGGCTCACACTTATTAAACACTCCAAGCAGTGCCTCATGCCCCAGGCCTGCAAAGAATATGGGGAGGCATTGCTGATTCCTTTCTCTTTGAAATACTGAGCCTTTAATTTGAAGGTATAATTCTAGCCTTTGTGAAATCAGGATGTATGTGTGCAACAATGTTTCTATACCCCATAAGATAACCAAAAGGCTTTTCATATTATCAGAACTATTATAGCCTGATTTAGCAGTACTTGCTTTAGAGAGGTAGCTGAGAATGTCATATTTGATGTGCTGTAACTGCAGTTCCACAATGAAGCTATGGGCAGGAACTCAGTGATCTTGTTTATACTCAAAGCAACCAGTGGAAACATGGTTCTCAGACTTAGGTATTTTTATTCTATCCAACTTCAAATGAAAGGTCTGCTTTCAAAATTTTACTCACAGCTTGGTAACGTGTGAATGAAACCCCCTAAGCTGGAAATTAGCTATTTTCTGGAAGATGATAGCTAATAATAACTCGTTTTGGAAATATATTGAAAACTGGGACAGGATAGATTTCCTGAGATCTATGCCAGTAATGAAGGAAAAGGGAAGAAGCACAATTATTATTATTAAACCCCCAAAATTTAGTAATATAAACAAGCATCACACACCAGAGTAGCCTTTTTTAAATTCATCTGCCCCAACCCTGTGTTCAAGGCCAGGCTGGATGAAGCCTTGAGCAACCTGATCTAGTGAGGATGTGTCCCTGCCCATGGCAGGGGGGGTTGGGACTAGATGATCTGTAAGGTCCATTCCAACCCCTAAATTCTATGATTCTATCACAGACAAAAATACAGAGCAAGAAAGCTGTAGTGCAAAAGGCTGACATGAGAAGGCAGACAAACAGATATGAAGCTCTTGGCCCACCTTGTGCACAAACTTTATTACTCTTCACACCAGGGTAAATCCACAATATCTCCTAGAGGAACCTTTTTTTATGCATAAAGGATATGCACTTGCTCTTGTCATCCTGAATTTGACAAGAACAAGATACCCGTAATCACTTCAGTCCTAAATTCAGTGTTTGTGTAGGGCACTGGAAGTGCCAAGATCAAGTTCTCTTTATTTATGGACAGATAAATGCATGTTCTGCAGAATGGGAATTTTATTACTGTATGAGCTTCGCATCACAGAATAACTGACAACTTCTATTTGTACACTTGCGAAGAAGAGGAAAAAGAAGGGAGCTCTGGTTAACCAGGTCCGAGAAGCATCCTTACTAGTAACTTACAAAGAATTGAGAAGTGTAAAGTATATTAGGGCTATTTTCTACATCTTTGTACATCCTGCACATTGCAATTAAAATTGCAAGTAGCATGAATTTCACACACTATGTTTAAACTGCAACTTCACATCATGATTTCACAACATGAACAACCACTCACTTGTTCATGCGGCTGAAAGATTAGGGGGCTTTCACAGTACCATTACTAGTGTATTTTAAAATATGGATTATATTTTAAATAGTCACATTTTAAATATAGATAGCAATATTTCCTAGGAGGACTTTATTCAGTAAATCCTGTCCCCATAACAGATTTGCCTGTATACTACTTTTTTTTAGTGTCAGTGATCTTAGTGTGCTAGATTAACAAGCAGTATTAATAGTAGAATAAAATCAAAAAAAAGAAGGATTATATGAGTATATCTAGTGTGACTGTGGGAGCTATATACATACTTGAAGAAACAGCATAATCCTCCAGAAAACTCCACATACAGTATAATTTTTTGTTTTGAATTGTCTTAGTTATCCTCTTGAATCACTCTAATCAGCACTGTGCTGGTATGACATGTGATTAGTGGGTTAAAGAAAATACCCAAGTATGAGGGTAAAAGCTGAAACAGCAGCTTTTACTTAAGGCCAGGCTGACAGAAGGAAGCTCCAAATACTGGAGAACTACAACGCCAGCCCAGCACCACCTCCTGTGCACATTTTTAGACTTGAGATCTGTGTGCAGGTCCTGTATGAAGGTGAGAACTGTCATCTTGCTGGGACTAAGAGATGAAAGTTACTTTGTCATATCTTTGAATAAGGAGAAGAGAGTGTTTTAAATACAGTTGGAAGGAATGTCAGGAGCTCAGAAGGATCAGCCTTCTTGCAGACATGCAAAAACAACTGTTGCCAATTTGGAGGCAGGTTGAAAGAAATAGAAAATATGGCCCTATATATATAAATAAATATCTATACAGAAGATACTCTAAAAATTTCTTTCTTCTTCCCTGCTGGCCTGAAACCGTTCCTGGTTTTTTTTCCATTGCAATACTTTACAACATTGTTAATTGTCAAAATTAATGCCATTAATGCCCTTCTGTAAAGAATGTTCCAAGTCAGGTGCTAATGAGATTTCATTGTTGCAGGAGGGAAAATAGTTGGATCACAAGCTCTAGTTTCACTTTGCCTTTTGTATTCTCCAGCCTGAACCTCACCAGTGCTGTCATGGAGAGGCATGAGGTGATCCTAGGCTCCTGCGAGATACAGACACCCTCCAGAGAAGGTAAAGTGTCAAGAAGCCATCTGCCTTGCCTCGGCTGGTGCAGCACACACACACCTGATCCAAAGGCTTGTTTGTGTTGGGCTTTCCTGAAATCCTCTTGGCGGTCTGTAGAGCTTATCCACTCCTGGGTTTGCCGCTGCCACTCTAGTGACGTCCTAGTTTGCCGGTCCAGGGAGCTCTTTGTTTCATCTATGTTCGGTGCATGCTGCCTCTCAAGAGAACTTCCTTTCCTCTCTGTCGAGCCTCCACGCTGACCAGGGACTACTGGCTGCCTTAAACCCTGACCAGGGGGCGGGTCAGGTGGTGGTGGAAGATCTAAAAAATGTGAATAAGATTTAGATGAACTAATTTTTAAATTGAAACAGAAGGTGTATTTGATCATGAAAAGAAAAGTTCCTTGCAGTTGGCACGAATCACTTCATTCACTGATTTTAAAAGAAAGAAATTTCAAGTTAATTAGAAAAGTGGTTTCAAATTCTGCTAGATCTTTATTCAGGTCACTGTGTTGCTAGCTCTTTCTGACTTCCATAAGAATCAACAGACTCTGAGCCCTGACTTTCATTTCTAAGCATGGGATGTTTTTTTTTCTGCAGGGTGTACTCCAGCTGTTTTGTTCAGTAAAAGCAAGCAATTCAGAAAGGCTACAGAAAACTGACCTGTGCCACTTGGCAATTTCCCCCCATCATATTGGGGCTTGCTTCATCATCCCCATATTTGGTCTTCACTTTCAGCTTGAGGTTTAAACTCAAAGTTTAAATATAGATATAGAATCGAAATATAGATTCATCAAAATGAATAAAATGCCAAAAATTGGGAAAAATTACTCACAAAACCTATTGTCATTGAAAAAGGATCAATACATCTCTGAAAAATGTGTTTAAATGGAACCACCAAACAAGGGATGGGGATTTTATTCGAGTAAATGAAGAGCTAAAGTCTTCACAGACAAGAGGATGGTCACTCTTACGTTTAGCAGTCTTGAAAATAGAGCCAATCAAAATATAATTTTAGCTAACACTGAAAGATGCTTGTCTGGTCTCTAACAACTCCTATTCTTTCAAAGTTTATCACTTGGACTACTAAGATGCTTGCAGAGTTGAAGATCAACCTTCTAACCACATTTGTAGAGGCAAAAGTACATTTTTATTAGTCCTGGATTCAAGGTAATTATAGAGTCAAAGTAATTATAGACTGTATAATTTTAAGTCTAAATGTAAGATTTTCATGTACACTATATGATAGACTTATAATAGTCAAGAAAAGCCTCAGATATTTAAGGAGGAAAAAAATCAGAAAATAGAAAAAAGTATTGCAATGAAAACTCTTCCATATCAGATACCCATTTTGTACATGGAACACTTTTTTATAATTCTGTTTTGGGGCAATACATAGCCCAAATAAATCTGTGCAGCCTCACCAACTTCACTAAAGCTATGTTAGTTTACAACAGAGTTGGGTTGTTTTCTAGTCTTTTGTATTTACAGTGTTGTGAAGGTTTATCAAGGAATTGAACTTGGCTCAGTAACAGGCATGGAAAAGTAAACCTCTGTTTTGCCTGCAGGGAAGTCTGATCTTTATAATTCTAGTGAAACTGAAATTCATTTTATAAATTGGTCAGGAGGCCTTTGGAGGGAGTTTATTTCAAAGTCTGTAATCCAGCTTTATATAATGCTTTATATAATACTACATAGAATTTTTTTTCATGTCCTTGCTGTTAGAAGTGATACTTATACCTTATATATGGGGCAGAAATGCTTCCAAAGTTGCTGAGATGTCATTCCAGTAAACACTGTCTCTTACAGATAAATGAGGATGTGCAGGACATTTGTGTTTACAAGCAAAAGAAGTTGTGTCTGATGATGCTTCTGTACCTTTGCTCACAGCTGAAGTGCTATGGCCCAGATTAAGATAACTACCTTCTGGCTAGAACAGCCTTATAACAATCTGTCGGTGAGCTTGGTATATGCTTTATGCTCAGCACTAATTTATTTGAGAAATTTTTCATTGTGAATATAGATGTGACCTTTCATGACAATGACTACACTTGAGTTACTGTAGGTGGAAGCAGGAGGGTATGGGAGCTTGCCAATGTTAAAATTGCTTTATAGTCTTGGCTTCCAAAATGGCATTTCTTATAATTGATTTTATTGTGATCATAACCAGTTAATGTACAGAACCACAACACTGGCATCTGCTTACGCAACCTGAAATAGAGATTACTGAAGTTGTGATTTATAAGCACTTTGTGGAGATGCATTGAATCCAATAAACACAGTCATAACATGACATCAAACTATGCAATTTTCCCAGATACAGAATTTACTGTACAATATAAACAAAATTTTTAAGTAGTAGAAAAAAAAAGTTAAAGTTATTGCAGTATTAAACTTTACATAGAGTACCCTTCTTCAGAAATTGCCATCTAATAGTTGTTATTAATTAGATACTTAGAAGGACAGAAGGTTTGCACTTAAACCGCAAAGCATGTTCTATAGCTTGCTGCAACTCCTGGAATTACTGTAAACATATCCTGATTCTTGCTTTTCTTCACACTCAAGATAAGCACAAAGATTGACTTATGCATAGAAATTAAATGAGATGCCATGTTTGCAAAATTCTTTGAGTATTTTAGACCTCTGGATGAAATTAAGTGGAGACTGATGATCTAATGAAGCTTCACACAATTCGAGAAGAATTACAGGTACTATGGAATTAATGTAAGCTGGCTCTGGCCTGAGTACAGACTTACTGAACTGTGTTAATTTATGTCTGATATCTGTAAGAACAGTTGCTAATTGCAGCCAAACATCACCTGACTAAACTGTTTGCTTCTTCGCCTTCTTATGCAGGTTGACTGTCTCACTAACACCTACCTGTCCTTTTAAATAAAAAAAAAAAGAGAAGCTGTAAGAGAGCTTCATTTGGAAATGTGGCTTTTATTTGCTCTACAACTTAAATCCTGTAGTGCAAATCTTCTGCCTTAGGTAAATTACTAAATATGCTCTGTTATCTTGCCTGGACATATAGAAAGATCCTGTGTATCTGAAGTCATGAGGTTCTTCCTCCAATGCTGTAGAGGCCTTCTCTCTGCCCCTAGTAAAGGGGCAAAAGATAGCAGCTGAGTTAGTAGTCTCAAACTCTAACAGGAAGACCACATAGAGGCAATTTAACTCATTCCTTGTCAATCACTTCAGAGAAGTTCTGAATTTAGAAATTTAAGGATTTCAGTGGGATTTTCCATGATGATACCCAGAGTGGTATCACTGATTATCACTCGACTTCCATCTAAATCACATTTATCTTTCACGTGCCAGGTAAAAAACCTGAAAACCTACATTGAGCTAGGAACTTTCTAGGCCAGTGGGATGTCATCCAGACTATCACTTGAAGCCTCTAATGGCAAGATTATCAAACCTGTGAGGCAATTCATAAGTGCACTGGGGGCCAGGCGATGATCTTACTGATTTAGTAATGGAGGGACTGTGACTGAGAAGCTGTAGAACATCAGAGTGCTTGACAAGAGGGAGATGGATATTAGGCTTGGATTACTCCAGCCCTCTTTTGGAAAGCAGAGCATTGGCCAAATGATCCAGGCACCAGTCAAGCTTTGGCACAGACTCTCATTATTAACCGGAAAAAGCAGCAAGTTACAGAACCTACAAGTATAAGGACACATCTTTCTACCTCTGCCAGTGATCTCTTTTCCTAGGGTTGATAATTACTGTGACATTTAATAAGGCTCTGAACCACTTTCTAGCATCAGAAGGTTAGCATTTTCTCTTCAGTGACCTACCTTAGAAAAAATTGATTTGTAATATACAATAGGTAGTCAGTGGCAAAACTAGCAGAAGTCTTATGTTCCAGGTATCTTTTTAAGCTCTAAGCATATTTCCCTTCTGCCTCCTCTTTCATTTTTTTACGTATCATGCTCAGCTAAAGAAGAGTTTTTAACTTCAGTCATGCAGTTACCATGCCACAACCTATAAGACAGTTTCCACTGATTTGCAATTTGTGAATACATTGTTTCCAGGAAAACAAATTATTCCTTGAACACTCAAACTAAAAACTTTATGATTGTTTTAATGGTGAACTGTTAGCTCAGAATAAAGGTTTTTGTCATCTGAGGGATTCATAACATATTTTTTCTCTGTGGATTTGCTGTTGTCTCCACGGTCTTACAGGCTGTGGAAGTTAAAAACCAAGTTGCACAGGAAGAAAAATATGAAGAATCCATCTAGAGTCAGCCTCTAGAGGATTCTGCCCTGCAGCTGAAGAAAATGAAAAAGCAGGCTTTTAGGGGATTTGTGTAGATTGCTGTCAAAAGTAAGCATGAAGTTGAACCCTCATATGCTTATGTAGTCTGAGATGTGTGTGCTATGTGTTGAATATTACAGTTTCGTAGGTCTTTTGCACTGTCCCACATGGTTACAGTTAACAAGGAGGAAGTGCTCAGGATGCATATGGGAACGGGCAGAGAAAGGACATAGCTGCAGCTTACTTAGTCAATGAAAATTTAAAATGACAAATATACAGTATGTGATGAGACTTAAACACAGGATGCTAGGACTCATCTAACTTGGGAATTTGAAAACAACTGACAAACCAAGTACATTCTCACATGACAAATCCACAAAGAAGCAGTTATAAGGGAATGGATTTGAGAAATCTGAAAACCAGGAGAAAATACATATATAGTGATGCTTCCCACTGAAATCAGGATGGCCAAGGGCTGAATGGACTAGCCTGGATTAGGCCTTAGAATTTCTGGATCTATCTGAGGTTCTTCTACTTGCCTTTTTAACCTAAAGCTCAAGCATAATGGTATTGTCTCTTTTTGTAAAGCTTATTTCTTTATTCCACAGAAAGCATCCAGTTACCATTTTTTTATTTCTGTATACCAGAGTTTTCTAAATTCAATTGTTTACATACATGCAGGTGGCAGCAGCAACCTTTAGCTTCCTTAATTGACAAATGATCTTTTTCAAATTTAACTATGACTCAGACTTGCCATTACCCTTTAATGACTCACATTCAGTAGGAGTTGAAGTGGAAAAACTGTACCATTTGTGTTTGTTTATTCCTGTTTTAATACAGGATGGGAAAAGATCCTATATTGCTCCAGGACATTATAAATTTTTGGAACATATAATAAGCACTTTAACTAGGTTTATAACAGACAAATGTTAAGCTAATGGCTTCCAAAAGCTGTTACGGTTACTGCCTGTGTCTGAGATGTAGATTGTTGAAGGAAATAGCATATAATTAGTATTCTGACTCACATATGTGAAAGAAACTCCAGTAAGATTAGCATTTTATAAAGAATAAACAAAAGACAATAGGAGATTCCTTTTTAAAAATAAATTTTAAAATCTGATCTTTTTCACTAATTTAAAACAATGCCAGATTTTATGATGGAGTCACTCTCTGAGGAGTCACACTTCCATCTGTCTCATGACCTGAACTGGATTCCTGCTCATTTTCTGGTATGCACATTATTGTAAAATATTTCTATAGCAATAGTATTTAAAGGCAGAAGGATTAAGGTCCCACCATACCAAGTGCACTACAAGCTCACACATACACAAAAATTGCAGCCCAAAAATGCTCATAGTTCAGAGTGACAGGATACACCATGCAGAAGGGTTAACTTAACACATTCACAGAATGAGTATGGTCAGCACCACAAGCAACACCCACAACTTCCTGTTCCTGTTCTCATAGACATATCTATTTAATGGATATGTGAGGTAGAGAGGCCTCTGGAATATATCCAGAACAAAACAGCATTAATTATAGAATCATAGAATCATAGAATTTTAGGGATTGGAATGGACCTTACAGATCATCTAGTCACAACCTCCCCTGCCATGGGCAGGGACACCTCCCCACTAGATCAGGTTGCTCAAGGCCTCATCCAGCCTGGCCTTGAACACTGCCAGGGTTGGGGCTGCCACCACATCCCTGGGCAACCTGTTCCAGTGTCTCACCACCCTTACAGTGAAAAACGTTTTTCTAATATCTAACCTAAAGTGCCCCTCCTTCAATTTGAACTCATTACCCCTTGTCCTATTACTGCAGTTCCTAATAAAGAGTCTCCCTCCAGCTCCTTTGTAGGCCCTTGAAAAGTTGCTATGAGGTCTCCATGCAGTCTTCTCTTCTCCATGCTGAACAGCCCCAACTTCCTCAGCCTGTTTAAACCAATTCAAATATATAAGAGTGGAATCTAAGCTACTTTAAGCTGTTTTCACAAATAATATAACACTGAGAATGAGCCACAGAGCATGAGATGAGATGTAATGCTAAGCCATTTGGTGAAGACTTTCTCTTCTGGAATCTGTTCTCCAGCTTCGTGGTATAGCAAACCAGGATTCTGTCAGAGCATACTGCAAAATTGCATCTTTACACCTGACTGAGAGCAGAGCTCTTGTGTTTTTTGGCAGCCACAGTCCACCTTGCAAGCTGTTAATATATTTTATACATGTACCTGGAGTAATAAATAGCACATTATAAAGAAATCAATCTAAATATACTGCCTATCAAATCTACTTATTAAGTTACCTGTTCAAAGAAGATAAAGAAGTGAGTTGGACTTGATGATCCATATGGGTTCCTTCCAACTTGAGACATTCTACGAGTCTCAAGTAATTTTTACCAGAATAAGGAGGATGTTTATACTAAAACCTAAAGTAAATTATTTTGTTTTACACCTTCCCCGTACACTGGAAATTTGTCAAGATGTACTTAAGATTAGAGGATAGACTCACTGGCATCACAGTCATTCTAGCTGTCCAGATCGTGTTACAAGAGCCACTCAGACAGGTGGGACAGTCTAGCTCTCAGAATTGCCCTGCTTTGAACACTGAAGAAGAGTTCAGCATGAGGAAAATGATCACATCTACACCTTCATGGCATTACAGATATTACAGCCACCTTCCTATCCAATCTTCTTCAAAGAGCAACAGGCAGCAATTGTGTCTTTTGCCAGACTCAAGAGAGGTAGACAAAGATAATGGAAGACAGAGCTGATTTTAGTTATTAGAAGAGCAGAACAGACATGCCTGAAATTTCCAGATGGGAAGCAGTGATCAGAGAGAAGTGGAGATGTAGAGGGAAGCAAAGTCACTGAGGTCAGTGGATATCAGGACTGAAGCAGCATGGATGAGACATGAGGCAGAATCATGGGAAAAGCATAGTACATGTTGCTGTAGCTGTTGGATGTTTGTCAAAAACAGAACAAACCAGAGTGCTGCAGGAGTGGTTCTATGCTTCCCCTTAGGAATTCTTGGCATACTGCTACTACTGGTGGTGGTTACTTTCATTTAATGCAAAATTACCCACATGCCATTTTCTAATGTCAACTCATGTGCAACGCAGTCAGTCATTTTTGGGTAAGATTTATACTGAGATCTGAGAAAACCTAAGAGATGCTAATGTGTTCAGAGCCAAAATGAAGAAAGGCTCCTTGAAGACTCAGTTAACCAAGTTCAACATTGCTAGTGTTGCAATATTGCTCACGTGGCAATCTAGGGACCTCATTTCACAAAACCAGTAATTCACTGTAACCTATATTCCTTGAAAGGTTGCTCTGCATTCTCCCACTCTGCACACTTGCTTGTTGCAGGTTATCATCAGGGACCTCACCACAACACTTACCGTCTGTGATTCCCTCCCTACGATGAGGCAAGGGGGGTTGGTCCAACCGTCCTCCCTTGTGTTTTTTAGTGGGCCTCGGCCTCTGACCCTGATTGACAGCTGCACTGGTGTTGCTGTCAGTAGAAAAAGGACTGCTCGGATGAGGTCTCTGAGAGGAAGAATATGCTTTGCCTAAAAAAAAAAATAAAAAAAAAAAGATCAACCAGATGAAAAAATGTTATTGCCTTGAAATGAGCTGTTCTATTAATGTCTGTTCCAAAACATTAAATCGGGCCTAATTCTCAGAGGCAAGCAAGTGTCCCCTTGAGGTACCCACTGATGACAACTGTTTTAAGACACACCACAACAAGTGAAGTGAGAAACTTGGCATTCTCCTGTCTTTAACTTTTATAATTAAAATTATTCCATCTGTTGTGATAAAACTACTGTATACCATGTAACTCCTACCTGCTCTGTGTGCTGAACAGATGTGTCATAACAACTCCTCAGCCTTGAGCAGGGAAGGAAAACAGTTCTGCAGTAATATCAAATTTATCTCCTCCTGCCTTCCACTTTCACATTTGTTGAGCCAGATTCTCATTTTAGGCGCTCCCATATGCACTGTATATCTGGAGTAACTCCAGCGAGATAAACATAACTGATTTTGCAAGCTGTGTAACAGTGTAGCTTTGTATATTTAAAGGCTCTCTTTTCTCAAGAAATGGGGACATATTTAAATGCTAAAATTATCCAGTTCATTTCCAGTAGTTTTATGTGTTAAAAAATGTATTCTGATTGAATTTATTCCTCAGATTTAATTTATAATATGTGTAGTGTGTGTATATATATATACTATTCAAGCTACATGATTTCACTTAAAGAAATATCTTTGATGCTGTTCTTTGGAGCAGATGATTAAAAACCTCATGCAGGAACTGTGGGAGCACAGTTCATTTACTACATTCACTTTCTCTTACGCTAATATTTTTATTCAGTTAATTTAACCAGGCTTAGTGCTAAAACTAAACTACAAATCTAAAAACTAAATTGAAAACTAAAGATCAGCATCTTTTGGTTTCTATTGTTCATGTGTAGATTGTTTGTGCTAAGTATCTTTGAGATTTTAACATTCTAATTTGTTTACAACTGGTAACTAAAATTCTTGCATGTTTTAATCCTATCTGCAGTGGAAAATGTATAAGCCAGTCAAAACTTCAACTCTTTCAGTGTTACTTAACTGGTAACTAAAACTCTTGCATGTTTTAACCCTATCTGCAGTGGAAAATGTATAAGCCAGTCAAAACTTCAACTCTTTCAGTGTTACTGTAGGCCCAAATGGTGCAAGAGTTGATGGAAAGTGGCAAAATTGCCGTTTGCTATTTTTCTGGCCAACTGAGCCCAAGGTAGAGAAGCTTTTTAATCTTCTCGTTAACTTAGACCAGGGTCTACTCTACTGTGAGTCATGTTTTCTAGTAAAACCTTTGAACAGATGTGCTTATTTCCAACATGTCATTAGATACAGTCTGATCCAGATAAGCTTAATCAGGAGTAATATGCAGTTCAGTATACTATTTGAAATATTTTCAAGGCAAACAGGGCAAAGTGAAAAAAGTAGCTGTAATCTCTCTAACATGGTGTTTCACATTAATACATACCAGTTAGAGTAACATTTCACTATTTGACTTCAGAGATTTCCTAACTGTCTCAGGCATGGTCCTCTACCTTCTGACTGATGTGCACCCTGAGGAGGACGCTGCCTCTCAGGCAGGTTTGTCTCCCAGCTGCATGTCACTGCCAGCTATTGGGAGTTACCACATTTGAAACCCTCATGTGGACATTCCCTATCTCCCTTCTACCAGAAAAACAACCCCAATTGAACTGAAATGATCTGAAAACACTGCCTTTGCTAACCTGGCACATTTTAACTGAAATGGGTGACAGAACGCCCACACAAGCAGCTAATTCTGGAGCTGGGAGAAAGCAGTAATAGCATTTGGGGAGAGGCTGGAAACATTAACCTCTATAGCTGGCACAGCTGCAGCCAGACAAAGACAAGTGATCAAGCCCTTGTTTCATGGATAAGGAAAAACCAGCAGATGAACAGAGACAAAATATAAAAATTTCATTTAAAAATATATATATATAAAAAGACCACTAAGGCAAAGAAATTCAGAGCCTGAAATTCCATCCTAGCTCACAGCACATTGCACAGATGTTTTGCAAAAATAAACTCACAACATGCAAGTGCAACTAGTGAGCGCAAGATGAAGATTCTTCACACTTATTCTCTTGACTAAAGAAATGTCATCATTCAGAATGTTGGTTTGAAAAAGAAATAGACACCAAACATTCTCTCTTATCCCTTCATGAAAATGAGGCAAAATAAATAGCACTGAACTAAATAAGACATGGAGCAAGCACAAATGATGTGCAGGCTCCCAAAGCACATTTTTCAATGCACCTAATAACTGATCACAGCATCTTGTATTTGTATGCAGCCCTTCCAATAAGAACTGCTGAGCAGCGTCAGACTTCCTGTAGTAGATTTAGTGTGTGTAAGTGGAGACAAGGATGAATCCACTAATTCTTGATTTAATTTCCCAAGGGTGTTAAAAAGGAAAGCTGTCTGAACTTCATGGCAAATCACATGATGGTTTCTGGAAACTGGAATCAAAATGTCTGGCAGGAGAGACACATTGCATCTGGATTTACCAGTGCCTCTTATGCTTAGCAATCAAATGTTCCCATGTGAGGCTATCAAGTTGGACATCTCCTTTAGTACCTATTGGTGAGAATATTTCACAGCTGTTCTAAATGGGTAAAAATAACCATCCAGACTGCAACGGAGTAAAGAGTCAGGACCTCCAGACTCCCTCCAGAGCAATGAACAGAAATAATACTGCTGCTTGTCCACTACTAGACACTATTTTGCACTATGGGGGGCTGCTGTGGTGCAGCAGGTCTTTAATAGCCATGTCTGATTGATTCACGCTACCCTGGGAGGTATCATATCGTAATGACACTGCAGTGAGCACGGGCGAGTTATTTCCACTTGCTGAGGTTTTTGTGAGGAAAAGAGAGGAGGGCTGTTTGTTTACATGTGGGCTTTATTTTATTTTCATTTTGCCTGCTGGATCATTAAGAGAGCAAGCGGGTAATAATCATAAAGTCAGAACCACTGGATACGTTTTTTTATACCCTATACTCTAACAGTCTGTGTGAGGAATTACACACACATAGTTTAAGTGCATTTGTGACCTAATTAAGCTAGGAAAATATAACTGACAAGAGGGTTCTCATCCTTTCCTTGTATTTTCCATTTGCATAACTACATTAAGAAATCATCTTTATTTTAAAGTGTCTATGCTTTTGTGTGTCTGTTTACTTCTGTTATGTGTGTGGTGGTGGTGGAAACTGCACTTCTCAAAGGCCTGATACAAGTGACATCAACTTTGGGTTAATTTTTGCATTAGCTTTTACTGAAGGCAAGAACACCACCCAGACAAAAACACCCCAAACCAAACCAAACTTAGAAGACTCTTTCTGCAAGCAAGATAGTTTCAAGCAAAATAGTGTATTTTAAATTATAGATAGGCCACATGTGTCCATGGCAGATGAGTGAAGGCCTATGTCAGTTCTTGTTTTGTTTTGCTTTAGTTTTTATCAAATGATGCGACAGATTTACTCAGTCAATTTTCCAAGTCTAAGAAGTTAGTGAGGGGTCCAACTATGGTAAAATGACTGTCTTCTAAGCATGACTATGTTTGACCAAAGTCAGTGGAAACAGCCCCAGCAGTTTGAGAAAAGCTCTATCTGTTCATCCTGTAGTTTGTTGGTGACATAGGACTTTACCATAAACTCTTTTCTTTATTCCTCACATTCTTAAAAGTTGGTGTTTGCCATGAAGTTATTGCGTGCAGAAAGCTTGTGGCTTTCAGCCCTAACATGAGACATTTCTCATAAATGCACACATTTTACTGAGGGAGAGACTTTATAGCAGACTAATAATAAAAAAAATTAAATGACAGGAACATTATGGGACCTGCAGGCAGGAATTGGCTGAGAAGGAATAACAAAAATATGACCTAAGTTCAAACTTTTCTATTAGATTTGTGGATTTAAATAATTAGGGTGTTTCTGCTATTTTGATAAGACTAAGAAGATGGAAATACATACTTTTCCCAGAATACTTAAAGATAATTTTTCCTTTTCTTTTTCAAAAAATAGAAATAAAACATATGGAGCTTTAAAAATATAGTTTTCATTAACTCATTTTAGAAGACTGACTTTTAAAAAGCAATAGTCACTTTATATTTGTTACATTTTACTTGTCAGATTCAGTTGGCATATCTAAAATTAAATGTTCTCAAAATATATATATTTATTAAGTATTTTTTAAATCAGCTATCAATAAAGTTTTTAAACAGTTCATATTGGTAACAATAAAAGCACACCAATTCACCCCATGCTTAGAAAAACTGCACAGAAAAATACACTTTTGCAAGAAGAAGAGCAACAGATAGGCAGGGATGGATATAACAGTTTAAACGTGATGTTTATCACTGAAAATGTGAATGATTGTGAGATTTTTCAGAAACTGAGATCATCAAGGACTGCATGGCAGAATTAGCGATCTTTTCACCAAAATATAAAATGGAGCATGTGTCAGTAAATCTAAAGCAGAGTCAGCACAGAGGGAAACTGCAGCAGACTGAATGTGCAGATTAAAAGCTTGTGCTATTCACTACTTCAAATCACTAAAATGAAACATACTGCAAGGTTTCATTTAAAATATACTGATAAAGGTATCCCCATCCACCTTATTCCATGCATGTTAGACAAGTGTGAGATGCAGGTTCACTGAAAGAAGAGAAGAATAGGCAGACATCCTTCATGCAGAAAGCATCAACTTTGAGTCTACAAACCTGTTTTTGTCAGGCTGGTTCCATCCAGCCTAAAACCAGCTTTATCTGCTGCTGCAACCAGTGCTTGTGCAAAAGTGCCGCTGGTAAAGATCGAGTCATCTGAGGAGCTACCTACACTAGATCTATGACTAGAAAAGTTATGGTCCTCATCAGACGCAGAACCCCATCCATTTACCATTGAACCTAAAAACAAATGTAGGGGTCTAGTGAGTTGTGCACGTTTGATATCTTTTGATCATCTAAAGCTTAAAGACCCAGTTATTATGTCCTTTCTCAATAGGAAACCCAAAATTCATTTTACAGCTTAGTACAAAAGAGCAACATTCATCTAAAACTTAAAGACACAAAGTTTATCTGACAGAGTTTGATATAACAGAGCACTATCAAAGCTAAGTGAGATCACATTCATGGCTTGCTCCATGCAGCTTTGATCCTGTAAACAAAATAATACATGTTCCCTACAAATGTGAAGGCTCCATAATAAATTCATTTGAAAGTTAATAAATTTTTCCTGGGATTGAAATGAATGTGATTGGGTATTTTTTACTTGACTTATTACAAATCAGTATCTAGTTTGATATTTGCAAAACCGAGTCTTAATTTTGGACAGCACATGTGTAAGTCTCAGTAGATATGGCTGAAATCAGACCTGGGCTTCAAGAGCTATGGTGAATAAGACTGGAATTATTTCATCTTGTCAATCAAAACCTAAAAACAAATGAGCAATTTTAGCAGCCTGAAGAAAGCTAGGCTGAAATAGTTCATTCTAGTGGATTAAAGCTACTTTTTCCAAAAGGTTAGGAAAAATTAAGATTCAAAGGCAGAGCAAATATATGCTCAGATTTAATACTTAGTCAATCACTAAGCCAATGCTGGCCCCATGGTATGGGGCCATGGATAGCTATGGATTACCACCACTGCAGGAATGGAAAGTGATAACAATGTCATAAAAATGCAGTCAGAAAGTCAGATACCAGAAAAAGCACATGAAAGAAATATAGAAATCTTGACGTAACTAAAACGCAAAAAGTAAAATAGTGAAGGAAAGATTCAACTTATTTGCTCTTAATTTATACTTTCTTTTATTTTTTCCAACATGGCAGTTTCAAAAGCTATTGCTCAGTTCAAATGTTTTTTTTTTTCAAAGCACTATTAATCTGTTTCTTTTGTGACTTTGGATGAAGATGATGGTGTTCTGTACTTCTAAAATGTCACAGGGTCATTTTACAGTGTGCAGTGGTGCAGGAGGCAAAGGAAACAGCTAGCAGCAAGTACTTAGCTTTGCTCCACAAACGAGGCACCTGTGCTAATTAGTTACCATGTCCAGCTGAGGTGCAGAGCTACCAAACTGCTTTTGGAATCTGAGTTGCTGCACGGCATTGCACACTGCTGTGTAGACACAGTGTATTGTTCCAAGGTAGTACAGGCAGCTATCTTGAAATACCTGAAATCTGCTTTTTAACAACAGTCACGTGCATGTGTTTTTAAAAAAAGCCAAGTGAACCTATGGGAATCTGCAGAGAACTGGTTTTCAAAGACATGAAGACACATGCGGAAGGGTACATCATGGCACTGACTTAACTGCTCGGTTAGCACAGCTGAATTTGTGTAAATGTAAGTGATATATAGTAGCAGAGTAGCCTTTTCTTAATCCATGTCTAAGAAAGTATTATAGTGTTTAAAATACTTAAATAGTAAATCAATAACAACCTGCTTATTAGTCCTGAACTGATTGGCTAATTAACTAATGGTGTTATCAAACATTAAAAATATCCTGCAAAAATAAGTCATGAGTACAATAAATGAATACTGGAATTCAGGCAGTAGCACACTGCACCACAAAGCCCAAGAACAATGGATTATTTTGTGATGCTGCAGTGACCAAACCTTTTAATGTCAGCAAAGTGGCAGGTTATAATAACAAAAGCCCAGGCACTCCTAAGATATGAGAAAAGAAACCAAAGAGGTCTGTGGAGGTCTGACAGGCAGAAAGTGTGTTAAGTGCAACAGAGAGTGACAGAGTTTGATTCTGCTTGCAAAGAGCGCACATAAAATTGTTATTTTCCAAATAGACTCAACCTGATGCAGACAGATGTAAGGGAGACTAGATAACAGCAAGGGAAGGCTCAAACTGAATTTCCTCTGAGAAGACAATTTCTGAACTAACAATCAAAGTGCGATAGGACATCATAGAGAATGGAGAGTAAAGAGGCTTAGCAACAGTTATTGCTGATGTATGAGAAAAGATTCTACAGATAAAACATTTCATGAAGATGTAAGAAAATGAAATGCTGTAACTGTGAACATTTTAAAACAATCATTTATCAACACATTCCACAAAATATACAAGCACAACTAAACGATAAAAATATAACTAGAGCTACAGATATCAAAGGATGATACTCAGATGCTAAAAATTTAACATGTACCCCATTAGTTTCAGAGCCCAAGAGTTTTGTGTGATACATTCTACTGTCTACATAGAGACATAAAAAGCCCATATACTGTACAGAATAATTATTGGGTTTGGCATCATAGTAGATAGGACTATGGATGTTTTAAAGGAACTTTTAATTTCCATTTGCTCACATTGCTCTGTCCATTTGCTAACCACTCAGCTGCAACACAACATACAACACACATGATAATTTGGATGGGACATTTTCAGGGTACATCTAGTGGTTATTTTTCATCTACTCTTTGAAGGAACGGACCAATCAAAAAAAAGAAAAGCCATGTTTCAAGTATGAACTATACTAAAAATCTGCAAAAGCCCATAATGTTCTCTCCAATGTGTGTGCATAGAACTAGTGTTCTACACACTCATAGACATGCCAGATTTTCAAAAAATGCCTAAATTTTAATTATCAGTACAGTGCTGTGGAAAACTACCAGTTTTCCAGGTTAACCCTATAAAGCAGCCCTGTTCCTGAACTCCTCTGCATTCCCATGGACAGTAAGTATTAGTAAGGCTAGGAATAGTGCACTCCACTCATGAATCACTTCCCCTTCCCCTCTCCTCCATCAGCTGTGCTAGGAGAGACCTGTCAGGCTGGAAGATTAGCTCAATTCTTGCAGGGGTGTGAGTTTTACAGGGATGTCATGACCCCACCTGGAGTGCTGCATCCAGTTCTGGGGACTCCAGCACAAGACAGACATGGACCTGTTAGACTGAGTCCAGAGAAGAGCCACAAAAATCATTAAGAGTGCTGAAACACCTCTCCTGTGAAGACAGGCTGACAGAGCTGGGGTTGTTCAGCCTAGAGAAGACTGCACAGAGATCTTACTGCGGTCCTTCAATATATAAAGGGGAGTTATAAGAAAGAGAGAAAGAGACTTTTTGCTAAAGCCTGTAGTGGAAGGACAAGGGGCAATGTTTTTAAACTGAAAGAGAATAGGGTTAGATTGGATATAAGGAAGAAATTCTTTACTGTGAGGGTGGTGAGGCACTGGAACAGGTTACCCAGAGATGCTGTGGATGCCCCATCCCTGGAAATGTTGGAGGTCAGGTTGAATAGGGCTTTGAGCACCAGGTCTAGTGAAGGTGTCCTTGATCCATGGCAGAGGGGTTGGAACCAGATGACCTCTAAAGGTCCCTCCCTTCCAATCCAAACCATTCTATGATACTTTTGGCTGCTGGAAGCAGAGGCAAACTTTTTTATAACTGCTGAAGTCAGCAAAATACCCTGAGACATACACAGCACCCACAGCTGTATGTGACCAGATAGCTAAAGGCAACATTTCTACATTATTTCTACTGATTCCTCAGCTATTCAGTTTCGCTGCATAAACAATTTTTTCCCCACCAAAACCTGCAGCAATAAAACCCATTTTGCTTTGACCTGCAGAGGTGTAGACATTGCCCAGAAGGCACGGGAGTGCTGGAGCCCAGCCCGGGCACCTCAGGCCACCACACAGCTGTGTTAACATAGCACACATGGTGAGTGCTTGTTTAAAAGGCATCCACTGGCCTCTTGTTTTCCAAATCAGATGCACATTTGTTTTTCTCTGAATAAAGGCAGAATAAGAGATGCTGACATTCCTTTCAGATCAACTGTGCATTTTGAAATGGGATGAAACAGGCTTTTAGTGTCTCCTTTACATGCAGCTCACTATGTGTTTTCCAAGAGCACATTTGAGTTTTTACGCTTTCTGGCAACTGTAAATTTTACTCTTGCTGACAGCAGCAGTAAATGCTTTATGCAGAACAAAATCAGCTCTGTGAAAAGTTGAACTCTGTTTTCTTGCTCCATAAAATATCTCTTGGTGCTAATGCAAACAGAAAGCTTCTTTGCTCTCAGGGAAAGGTGAGGGGAATAGAGGTGCTAGCTTCTAGTAGACTGCATGCTACTGCTTTTAGTGGCATTTTGCTGGCAATAAAAATGCTATTTTTCTTTGTAAAGTGTACTCTTGCTTTACTCTAATGCACTTGTGAAATAAAAGCTGCTCACAACAAACCTAACACTTCTGAAAATTCCATTAGATGCTTTTCTCTACATCCCAAACTCAATGTGCCTGTTTAAACTTAAGCAATGGTGTCACTGGTACCTTCAGGTGTATGCTTATGTGCTTTCCTGCACAAGACCATCAAGTACATAGTAATGTTAAGCCCCTGCTCCTCTGCAGATTTTTTTGATGCAACAGGGGTAGACTGCCTAGGTTTGTGAAGTATGGGTGACATCCTTGGGGACTGATGCCACATCAGCTGAAGTCAGTTACAGAATTCTTTTAGCCTTTGTACAGGGAAAAAAAAGACATTATCCTTTGTTTGATATGTCTGACCACTGCCATGATTATGAAGAAGGAATGCCCACTGATTTTGGTGGAAATGATGGAATAGAAGGGGCAATAATCATTGTATCATTAAAATAAGAACGAATAATAGATGGGTCTGAATGCAGAATATAAATAAGAACACGCTTCAAAAATTAGACCTGACCTCATACTTTACACTATACACTTCACTAAAAATGCCTGAATATTCAAATGTATACATCTGGAATAAAACCTTAAGTTGAAATTTTTCATTTTGGGGCAGGAAACACTAAACAAAAGGATGTAAAAATCATACCTACATATTTGGCACTTCACAGGTCCAACCATAATTAATCGCCTTCATAAACATCTAATGAAAAATGAATCTATGCCACTTAGCCAAATGTATTTCTGTTTGCATTACATATTTCTATATTTCTTTGGTTTCCATATTGCTGAAAGGCACAAAAAATTCTCAAATTTATTCAAGCTGTTAGAAAAGAAATGCACATAGAACATTAAGTAGGTGCTCAAATGTTGCTGAGCAGTAAAATACTATGATAAAGTGGCATCTTGCTGTGTCTCTATTACTTCTTCAGCACTAAAATTAATTTATGATCAGTCATCAATTCATTTACATGTCATTTTATGCTAAATCTATCGTTGCTGATGAATGCATATCCCTAGATCCATTAAGCTAGAGTAAAGTCTGTGCTTTATAATACGACCCTGCTAATTGTTGCATTACCATTTTTATGAGATACAAAAAGTAGCAGTTTCCTATTTTCTGAGCACATATTTAATCCACGAAACACATTCTTCGTATTAAATGCAATCTGTCTAACTGCTTATAAAATAGAATCTTTTGCAATAGGTATCCTTAAGCAAATCAATATAAATATTGAGCTCTGCCATGATAAAATATGGCTCATGAAAATGATTCTGTGTAATTTTCAAGAATTATTCCATTTGTACTCAGACATAATGAGTAAACTTTTTTCCATACAGACAGTGATCAGTGATTCTTTTAATCAAGACCAAAACATGCCAAATAAGGGATATTCTTCCTTGCTGAGATATACAACCTACAGAGATCTTTATAATTTCTATTGAAAAAAAAAGTTATCCATTTCCAGTGACACTGTTTACAAGAATATCTCTCTGTTTATATCAGTTTCTGTAAGTTAGGTAGAAGAGGGCTTGTTCCAATTTTCATGCTAGTTAATGAGTGTATCTCTCCCCTCAGCCAAAAATGCATCAAACCTGAAGATAAAACAGCTCTCACTACCAGCTTCACTGGTGGTGTTGGGGGAGGAGGAGAAGGAGAGGGCAAGGAAAATCCCCAAATCCAAATATTATCTGAAAAACCTTAGTCTTGTTCTTAGTGATTTCAGTGAGAAGCAAGTTAATTTCTTATACAGTCATAACATCAAATTAATTAAGTTTATTAAAGTAGAATAATAGAAGACTCTTCATGATGACCGTTCATGCCATAACTCTGCACATCAATTTATTATAAAGGCAAACATTAAATGTAAGGAAAAGAATAAACATATTTCAATGTGTCTCTGAAAGCAAAATTAACCCTAAATAATTGTGAATGAAAAGTTAAGTGAGCAGCACCTTTAACTCTGTTTTCTGGTTCTTTCTTTCTATTTCTTTAAAGCAGAATCAGTGACACAGTATCTTAACAAACCATGCTGGGAATGAAATAAAACTTGGGATTTATTTCATATTCCATCCCACAAACATTTAAATCTAAACCTCCCTCCTTGAATTCTCTTGTGATATCTGGAGAATGTTAAGATACAGTTACTGTGCACTCCTTCTTTCTTTTCACTTTATTATACATGTCAATATTATATCTCTGCCACCTGCAAAGAGAAAACCTTAATAGCACAGATTAAATCCTTGTCTGAATCTTCAGTTAGCTGTAACTAAAACTCAAGGGCCTGGAAGACAACTTGACTTTTAAACAGTTTAAAGGAGCAACACTGTGGTTTTGAAGGAATTCAGCAGCTAGAATTTAGTGAGCTTTGGCTTGCACAGTGCCAGTGTTTCCCCTCAGAGAATCCCACATTTGGTGTTGCATGAAATCCTCGGTCTCAGCTCAGCCATAAAGAACAAAGTACCATTTCAATCCAAGAGTGGGTACCTTTAAATCATCACTGAGGCATGCTAACAGTACAGGGTGAGGAAACTCACCCTGTTCCCTGTACAGCAACTCTATTTGGAGGATGTCTGGACCAAGGGATAGAATGTCAATATAGATAGGATGTCAATATAGATTTCTTACAAACCCTGAACTCACAGGGTTCAAAATGAACTAAAATATTGCTTCATCTGTTCTCATTTGCCTCCATTTTTAAATACAATGTTTAGAGAAGTGAAAATGCTGGTTTAAGCCACTAAAGGCCCTGTGAAAAGAAATAGCTTATATATTCTCAGGGCAAGAAAGAACAATTTAGTTGTTCTACAATATCTTAAAAGATTGGAAACAACAAAAGCAATTTGCTATATACCTTCCTTAACTCCAGTAAACACAGCCTGAAAGA